TTAGGAAAAATGGGCCAAGAGCGAAGAAAGTGGTGGAATTACACCTAAAAATATCAGTAATTAAACCACAGATGATTAGGAGAGGTAATTAAAAGACAAGAATCAGGCTGAACTTTAAAATACATATAATTATAAGTTTCTTTGTAAGAGATACAGCAAAATCATAAACATACAGGAAAATTAAAGGTCAGAAAAAAATGTATTATGCAAACACCAACCAGAAGAAACACTTACAGCAGATAAGACAGTTTTAAAGGAAAATAAATAAAAACTATAAAAATGATGGAGTTAGTCTCTTCATTAGGACAAAACGTCTTGTCTCCTGAAAATACTATCAACTTAAAACTTATATGCACGTAAATAATAGAGTGTCATAAGATATAAACCAAAGCCTGCCACAACTACAAGGAGAAATAGAGAAATCCACCAAGTGTGAGGTTTAACGCATCAAATTCAGTAATTCTAACAGAAACAGATAAATCATCAGCAAAGATCCAAGGTCATTGTGATAATTACTACAGAAGCAGAGAGTTGAAAACACAGTCATAAACAAAACAGTGATCTGGGTTTAATTAGAAATAACTGTAAGATTTATATTTAACTACTTACTATCCAGATCCTCCTTTCTGGTAGCTCCAAGTTTCGTAGCCTGAGACTGGTTTCTCGAAAATAAATCTTCCCTCTCAGGAGGGAGATTTCCAAGTGTTGTCGTGTTGTTTTTCTGGTTTTCAAGAGGAAATGCTAAGTAGAAAAAAAATACATGTGTAATGGAACATCTGGATATGCCAAATAATCATCAATTTTTCTTTCCAGGTAGGTAACGTGAGAAAAATCAGGTGAAGAGTTTTCACAAGTGTGTGTCTTGTTACTTAGTAATTACTGACTATGCCAATGCCCACCAAATGGGATCATTGCGTTTACTTCGGTTCTCTAATTATCTCAGGGTATTCACACCTTAGGTTATTTATTTTTATTTCTATAAAATATGTGCTCAAATACATATTCATGAACCAAAGGGGAAAAAAATGTTCTGATGAGTTTCATTTAAAAATGTGAAATTTCCTTTAATTATCGTACTTACTGTGGCGTCTTTCCCCTTTGGAAGTTATTTGTTTCTTTACTTGCACTTGGGGTTTTGAAACTGAATCCTGATTCTCAAACGTAAGGTCTTTATCTGGTGCTCCGTAGTAACCTTTATAAAGAGGTGCAGTTAGTCCGCTAAACGGAGAGACACATCTATTGTGAAATCTCTAGATTTCAAATTTATAACAAGTATTCAACAGCGTTTTCTCTCATTTTTATAAAATAAATTATTATAATACTAGATCTGTGACAAAAATGGATGATGTTGAAGCAGTCTCATTATTTCATAAATAACCCTAAACAGCAAATGCATTGTATACTGGTCTTCAGCTTTCACGGGCTGTTTATGTCAGGTTGATACATAATAACAGAACAAGCAATTTAAATGCCGCACACAAGGTCATTCTAACTGCAACACACTTCACAACCATCCAAGTGTTCAAGCACAGGAGACTGGGGGAATAAGCTGGATACACACACACCACAGCTATGCGCCGGTACAACTAAGTACTGCTGCAATGGGAGGCAAGGGTATTTACGTCAGACGTAAGCATCTGTACACAGAGCGAGACACTCCCTTCCCATCCGCACTCATACACTGGGCGCCTGCACGCCATCATTTCATGCAAAGATGACAGACTGGCTGGAGCACTGGTGGAGCTGGTGCCCTTTTCTGTTTAGACTCCCACTTATATTACTGCAGTGGCTGAATAAAGGCTTAACTGTTACTGTCAGTTCTGTTCGGTGTCTTTACAGACCACCTGCACAACTGGCAGCTCCTTCTCACTGACAGATGGCGGCAGGCGGGGTGGCCCAATTCAGCACAATGTCTTTCTGGAAAAGCAAAAAGCATGGAGATCCCCCAGGGCACTTTGGGGAGATGCTAGGGAAGTCTACTGGCTTCTTGGGGAGCACTAGCTGGTCAACTGCAAGAGTCTGAGGGTGCAGCAGCACGCCTGGCCAGCCACACCAGCGAGGCTCAGAAGCGCTGAGTCAGGGATGCCGTGCGGCCCTCTGGGGAGCGCTAGCCGGCTGCTTATGGAAGCTTCTGGGTGGCAGGGGACCAGTGGTCCTTCTCTTCAGCCCCAGACTCCCTGCCCACATGCCCGGGGGGTCCAATCAGAGATGCAACAGAGGGGCTCTGGGAACTCTAGGGAAGCGATTCCTTGGCTATTGCTACTGTCCTCTGATGACGGGACAAAACCTGCCGCGTACTCTGCAAGCTAAGCGCACCCAGCAACTGATGTACATTAACGAGGCCCCGGACGACGACAGGCAGGCCACAGCACAGCACGCTGCTGACACTCATGACTTAGCGCAGTGAGGACAGGACCCTGGGGCCGCAGGCCCAGGGTGTAAAGAGGCCTCAGAGACCTGGGTTGTTCGCGTGTGTGATGAACGAAGTGATCTTCTTAAACTCAGTGAGAGACGGAGTACCTTGTGGGTGGTGTCACTATAAACCCCCCTCCGTAAGAGTGCCCTAACTGCAGAAGGTTTGCTCAAGGAGAAGGAAGAAAGACGGAAGATGAGAGGCAAATACTGAGACCCTCCCCTCCTCACCTGGGTGTTATTTACGCTGACAGCTTTTGCATGAACCTACTACTGAGATCTTCTGGACCACCATCGCAGAGCCTGTAGCAGCCCGTGAACCACGCTGGCGGTCCCTTGATTCTACAGTGATGAGTGACAACAGTAGCTGAGACTGTCGACCAGCTCAGATTTCTAGGTTAACATTGTGCTACTCCTGCCGGTTTTCAAGCTAAATCAAACTTATAATGTTCTGCAACAATATTTGGAACTGAACTGACATATTTTCGGGCACAGAAGCAGCAGCTTCTGCCCAGATGGTGAAGACTGACTGACAAAGGGAGCAACACAAAATGGTACCCACGTGCTCCCTCCTGGATTGTGCTTCTAGAAAAGCTGAGTCTGCTCACTCAGCAGCGGGTTCTCAAAGGGGAGGCTCATGGCCAGGTATTAGGCCATAAAGGCCACATGGGTCTGCGGGTCGCAGTCAGAGCCATTTAGTGGGGCAGATGGATGACCACAAGCCTCCCTGCCAAGAGTCCCCTGGCGAGAGCAGCAGCGGCTGCCTGGGGTGGGAAAGGGGAAAGCAGCCCCGTACTGAGTCTCAGGACGGCAGGGCTCCTCAGGAGACTGACCTCGTTCAGTCGCCCTGTCTGACCTGTGGGCACGGCCTCTGGAGCAGAGTCTCAATGGATTATTGGCAGCTCAACGCTGTCATGCAACTCTGAGCACTGGGTGCACCTCACTTTGTGACGGTCATGGAGGCCACTTACTACTGCCCAAGACAAAGAAACTTGGGGTGCAGCAACTGACACCTCAAACCCTCCTTCGGCATCACTGCCTGCGTGGATGAGCAGGATGGGTCTGGCGTCACGGAGAATGGGATGTAACACACAGTGGCATCTTTCCACAAGTCTGTCTAAACTCCCCACCATCTGTCATCAGGCAGGGTAGGACCCAGGAGAAGTCCTGCTCCTGGAAGGAACAACAGCCTTCCACTGTCCTGCAGATGCCTTCCTGGTGACAAGGGCCTCAGACAAGGGCACCTCCCAGTAAGGACTGGTCACTCTGTGCACTCACGTGGGGCAACATGACTCAGCATTAATACAGGCGAGGTACCAGGATCCATCACCCAAGCGAAACCCCTAAGCGTGGTCTGTAAGGGCGCCAGCATCCCACTCCAGAGCAGGCTGCCAGTACCTGGTCCTCTCAACGCCCCAAGTAAAGAGATCCAGCAACTGCTGGCACTCTCTCGTCCTGGCACTTTCCACACAGGGAACTTGATGGCACCCCTCTCTGCCGTCACCAGGAAGACCTCACCTCTATGTAGGGGCCCCCAGCAAGGCTCCCTGACTCCTACCTGCCGTTCTAGGTACGGAGTCCAAACACCCCCAGTGTGTCAGCTGGAGCTGGTGGTGGATGGTGCTGCTGCAGGTCAGAGGTGCCCCCCCCCCCCGGGGCATGACTCCCCAGAACCCGAAGCTCCCAGAGTCAGCTGAGGGGTGCACAGCCTGAGACACTGCTGGGCAGTTACAGGCCTTCGTGGATATTGAGTCCGTGTCCTGAGGCTGTGAAATGATCTTACGACCAGGAGGTACTACGTCTTTTGCTTTTGTTCTCTAGTTATCTCAGGGAAGTCACAGTTCAGGTGATTTATTTTTACTTCTATAAAGTATATACTCAAACACATATTCATGAACCAAAGAAAAAAGATCTTCTGATGAGTTTATAGTAATTTACAGTTACCCACAGGTAGTGCACTTACTATGACGTTTCTCCACGCTGCGCGTCACCACATCCGGAGTCGCGAGAGCCAGAGTCCCACCCGGTGCTCCGCCACGAGCTGCACAAAGAGAGGCACTCAGCCCACTAAACGCGAAACAGACCCACTGTGAAGTCTCTAGATTTCAAATTTACAACAAATGTACAGCAGCATCTTCTCTCATTTTTAAAGTTACCAATAAATTGCCACACTGTTAGATCTGACATGAAAATAAGAAAAGTTTTACTAGGTGCTTCTGAAGCCGTCTCATTATTTTATAAATATTCTGAGGCATCAAATATATTTCACATTAATCTCTACTTTGCGGTTACATATACATTAGGTAAATGTGTAACAACAGAGCAAACAATAAAAACACATATGCAAAAGGTTACTCACTACAGTATTACCTGTAATTACAAAATATTTTAAACCACCTAATTGTCCAACAGTACGATACTGGTTGAATCAACTAAGATATATACAGTAAGTTATGATGTAGTATAAACCATGGTATACAACGTGACATTATTTCACACATTTATGTAAAGAATAATAATAAAAAAAAGATTTTTACAGGCTACCTTAAGGGATTTCTAAGAGATAATGTTAAGTGGACAAAAATTTAAAGCGTATCTAGTATGCTAACTTTTGGGTCAGAAAGAAGCTAATCAGAAAAAAAAGAGGAAATAGGTAACAACCTTACCAAATGAGGCACAGGAAAGGTGAGCAAGAAAATACTACAGCAGGTGGGCACCTGCAAGAAGACAGGGTGGGGGAGGGGCCAGGGACACACTAGGGAGGGCAGGACACTCTCCAGCATGCCCTGCGTGTGACACGTTTGGACGTAGGGCTGCGCTGCACACATTCCGAAAACTGAATCAACAAGGATGAGAAGAGAAGACGAACACTGAAGCCAACTTAATGAGACGAAGCTACTGAGGGGATGAGAAAACCAGCACTGACCCAAACAGCCAGCGTCGGAGACACACCCTCAGTCTCGGGCAAGACTTCGGGGTGGACAGCGAGCAGATCGCTGTTTTCAGCAGGCTGCTCTGTGGTGGGAGGTGCTGAGCAATTCTGCAACAAGGTCAGAAGCACTGGAGGACTGAGAGGTTGAGACACCTGCTGATGTTTCAAGAGTGAGGATCAGCACGGGGGAAGGAAGGACACGCACACATGAAATGGAGGAAGGCAAGGATGGGCCCTGAGAGACGAGCACGGAAGGTGAATGCGTGGCAGGTGCCTACAGATGTGCACATGTGTGTGTGAATCTATGTACACGTGTATAGATACACACACATATAAGTACGTGAGTGAAAACCAGGGAGTCTGGATCCAGCTTAAAACCCTATGTGTGATCTGTTCAGGACCGGCCTACAAAATGACCAAGGCTTCCCCTCGAGAGGAGCTTCCCGCCCGGCTGCAGACCTGATGCACAGCGCGCACACACGGCCCTGCGAGCTGGGCCACACTCGTGACTGCTGCGACCCCAGGCACACTCCTGGCGCCGAAAGACAGCCCACAGCTCGGCAGTAACTGACATGTGTGCCTTTCATTAAAAGGAAGGCAGGGGCCTTTGGCAATGCTCTGCCCAGTGACCCGAAGAGACCTTAGGGCCTCAGGTGGCTGGATTCCTTGATGGAGAAGGTAATCACACTGAACTTAGTGAGAGAGGCACGTTGTGGGATCCGTCAGTACAGACGCCTCCTCCTCTCACTCAGACCTCTCGACTTTCGTAAGCTAGCATGACCAGAGGTGAGACACAGTGTCTACGTCCCCAGTGGGGACCTGAGGACACATGCTAAGGCCACAGCTCA